AAACCCTTCTGCACTGAGCTGACGGCGCCCCCCGCACACTGACCAGTCTGTGATCCTTGCCGCGAGGCAGCTGGCATACAGCTTGTAGATGGTGGAGCAGAAGGAGATGGGCCTCCAGTTGCCGGGGTCGTCTCGGTCGCCTTTTTTGTGGATGAGCACGGTCATGGACTTTTTCCAGGAACGGGGAACACGATGGAACTCCTTGCATTTGTTGAAGATGGCAGCGAGCACCAAGCAGCCGGGGTCTCGCTTCTTCAGCAGGGGGTAGCGGATGCCATCTTTTCCAGGGGCGGTGTTTTTGGTCCTCGACAGCCTCGCCTGCACCTCCTGCTGGGAAAAATCTCGCTCCAAGTCCTCATTGAGGTCGATCCGGGGTAGCGGGGAAAGGCACTCTGAGCGTCGCAAGTTGGTCTGGGCCTCGTGATCAAACACATCCTTGAAGTAGGAGTAGAGCCTTTCGGGCTGGATGGCACAGTAGGAGGAGGTCCCGTCAAGGATCTCCCTCATGGCTTTCGTCCGGTTCATCCTGTATAGTTTCTGAATACGGGATGCAGCCGCTGGATCATAGCGGCGGCCGACGTCCCCTCTCCTGCCTTCTCTGGCGGTGTTGTTATGGCTCGGCGCAGGGAATCTGCGAGTGGCCCGTGCAGCTTCCTGGGGTTCCCTCCTTCTGGCCGTAATTTCCGCAGACAGTTCTGCAGTCAATCTGTCCATCAGGATGTCGAAGTTCTCAAAGTCCTCAGCCTTTGCCAGCTCCTCCATCCAGGCGGATTGCCACGGAATGGCGACCCTTGCTCGTGGCCATCGCTCCTCCTGCTGCGTTGTCTCTGCAGGTTCAGGTGCTGCGGGGACTGTCTGCGGCCTTGTTGTCCCTCGGACTGTGGAGCGGTGTTCAGGTGGGTCTTGAGGCGGGGGTCCTGGTGTGGTGGGGAGGGCAGCTCTTGGTGTCTCCGAGGCAGCACTGGATCTTCCGGGAGGGAATGGGGTTCTGGAAGCACCGGTGCTGGGCTTTGTGGGGGCGTGGTCGTGTTTGGAAGTGCTGGGGATGGTTTTGGTTCTTCTGCGGGCGGCATCCAGCTGGTGGGTCCTCGGTGGGGCATGGGGTTTTTGGCGGTCAGAGGCTCTTTGAGTAACCTTGGAGGAGGTGTTGGGTCTCCCGGGGGCGGGGTCTGGCTGTGGGATCTGGGGGCTATGGGAGGCTCCTCCCTTGGCTGGATCTCGCCGTGTAGCCTGGGGGACGATGCTAGTTGCTCCTATGGCAGGGCGGCATGAGGTTACCTGTGGGGGAGTGCTGCAGCGTCTACTGTCCGTGTTGTGCCGGATGGTTTTTATGAGGTCGCTGAGGCATCTGGTGAGGTTGTTGACCTGGGAGGTGGCGGTGGTCCCCCTCACAGCAGGGTCCAGTGTGGGGATTCTGGAGACGGAACTGGTCCTTTTAGTAGCATCGTCAGTCCTCGAGGTGGGGGTTACGCTTCCCTCAGTTGGCGGTTGGTCCCCCCTTATCTGCTGGGTGCTGAAGCCAGATCATCGGTGGGGGTCAAGGTTGGAACCCGGAGGATGTCAGTGGGATTCACTTTCGCGGTCGTGGGGGGTCCTCTGCACATGGCTTGATGAAACTTACATTTCTTTTGGGTCTCGAAGGGGAGACTGCAGCGGCTACACCGGAAAGCAATCCGTTTGTTGTAGGTCTTACGAACCTGTTTGCTGAGGGCCCCGAGGGTCTGGACTCCATGGACGGGGAGACAGAAGGGGCAGAGGAGGAGACCTGTAGGGAGCGGGTACTGGAGGTAGATGTGGTCTTCTTCCCCTGCCTCACCCTCCGTGGGGAGGATCTCTGTTGTGCCTGCAGACTCGCCAGGTGATTCCTCTGGGTCTGGTAGAGAAGCTTGGGGAGATGAAGTCGCTCTTGGGGGGGCACTAGACTCACTGGCCACATTGTCTCTTTGACTGGAAGGACAGCGTGCGGCATCGAGATCTTGGGCTCTGAAGTGCATTCCCTTCGAGCGGCCCTCCTCCGGACAGCCGGGCGGTAAGTAGTTTTGGGGTCTGGGGTTGAGGAGGTGGTTCCTTCCGGACCATCCCTCTCTGGAGCAGCGGGGCAGCGATCAGCATCCTGGTCCTGGGTCGCCGGGGGGCTCCTCCGGTGGCATCCTTCCCAGCGGGGCAGCGATCAGCATCCTGGTCCTGGGTCGCCGGGGGGCTCCTCCGGTGGCATCCTTCCCGGCGGGGCGGCGATCAGCATCCTGGTCCTGGGTCGTCGGAGGGCTCCCGTGGTGGCTTTCTTCCTGGCGGGGCGGCGCTCAGCATCCTGGTCCTGGGAAGCGGGCAGGGTTCTCCGAGGGTCCCCCTCCTGAAGAGCTGTTGAGATATCCTTGCTCCTGGATGTGAAGCCCCGAAGAGCCGTCCTTCTGGAGCCAGGTCTCCCTGCAGAGGTATCCACGGGGGGTTTCTTCAGCCAGCTCCTAATGCTTTTGTTCTTGCAGGTGGTCTGGGTCTTCTGTGAGGCACCAAAGGTGATCTTCAGGATAGGTTTTTGCTGAGCTTTCTGGAAAGCGGGAACAGCAGGAGCCGATGACAGCGTAGCTGAAGCTGAAAGAGTTTTCTTCCAAAATAAGAGAAGTGGAGTATATCTTCAAAGCAGTATCAATTTTTTCAAAAATGGCTGCAGGAGATTCCATCTTCTGGATGGGTGTTTGCAGTTGTCCATCAGAAGAAATTAAACTGATAAGAACAGACACTACACTTTGGCCTTGGCTACACTTACCCGGTAGTTCGGCGGCGAGCGATCGAACTTCTGGGTTCGACTTATCGCGTCTAGTCTGGACGCGATAAGTCGAACCCGGAAGTGCTCGCCGTCGACTGCGGTACTCCAGCTCGGCGAGAGGAGTACCGCGGAGTCGACGGGGGAGCCTGCCTGCCGAGTGTGGACCAAGGTAAGTTCGAACTAAGGTACTTCAAACTTCAGCTACGTTATTCACGTAGCTGAAGTTCCGTACCTTAGTTCGAATTAGGGGGTTAGTGTAGACCTGGCCTTTGAAGCTTGAGGAGGTGAAGTTACTCCTGGGGGAGTGCTGGACTCACTGGCCACGATATCTCTTTGCTTGGAAGAGCAGCGTGCGGCATCGAGATCCTGGGCTGTGGAGTGCATTTCCCCTTGGAGCGGCCTTCCTCCGGACAGTAGTTTCGGGGTCCCAGGTTAAGGAGGTGGCTCCTTTGGGAGCATCCCTCTCTGGAGCAGCGGGGCAGTGATCAGTATCCTGGTCCTGGGCAGTGTGAGAGGTTCTCCGGGGGTCCTCCTCCTGAAGAGCTGGCGAGATGTTGTTGCTCCTGGATGTGAGGTCCCGAAGAGCTGTCCTCGTGGTGCTAGGTCTCCCTGCAGAGATGTCCCCAGGGGCTTTCTTCAGCCACGTGCGGATTTTTTCATCCCTGTTGGTGGTCTGTGTCTTCCTTGAGGTGCCAAGGGTGGTCTTTGAGATGGGCTTCCACTGAGTTTTCTGAGAGGTAGAGGATGTAGGAGTAGCAGCAGCAGAAAGTGGAACTGGGGGTGTCTCAGGAGCAGAGAGAGAATTTTCTTCCAGAATAGCAGCAGCAGAATACATCTTCAAAGCAGCATTGATTTTTTTCAAAAATGGCAGCAGGAGAATCCATCTTCAGAGCAGGTGTTTCAGATGTCCATCAAAATAAATTAAACTGATAAGAACAGATATAACTTAGATAATATTTTTACTTCACGGTCCAAGAGACACAGACAAGGTTTTCATCTCGAGGCCAAAAGACTAAAAACATCAAGACACTTAGGGCTTGTCTATACTTACCGCGCTGGTTCGGCGGCAGGCAATCGAACTTCTGGGTTCGATTTATCGCGTCTAGTCTGGACGCGATAAATCGAACTCAGAAGTGCTCCCCGTCGACTCCGGTAATCCTGCTCGCCGCGAGGAGTATGCGGAGTCGACGGGGGAGCCTGCCTGCCGGGTCTGGACGGTGGTAAGTTCGAACTAAGGTACGTCGACTTCAGCTATGTTATTCACGTAGCTGAAGTTGCGTACCTTAGTTCGATTTGGGGGTTTAGTGTAGACCAAGCCTTAATCACGGCCTTTGATAGGCCAAGAGACTTAAAAATTTTATTAAAGTTAATGTTTAAAATCAAATTTACACAAATTAAGAGGGAAGGTACTCTACATCTGGGGTCGGGCTTGGGTTATGGGGGATTGTGAGTATTGGTTACAAGATTCACTAGGTACATACATATCACAAAACCAGCATAGATCCAGATTGGGGTGTGGGAGTTTTTAAAGCGTCAGTGGATAAGTGGGCTTGAGTACGCCACCCATGGAATGTATTAAGAGTCCAAGTCGATATTGGTGTAGATAATAAGTACCTGGGTGGGGTGTGTCCCTCAGTTCGTCAAGGAAGGAAGTGGGTTATTTCACTGGTCGGTGTTCTCGGTTACTTGACCTGGTACTGGCGGTGTCCCGTGATGTGTTCCATGTAGATGTCTCTGGACCACCTGATGGTGTCAGACACCATGAGCTGTCTCATGAGCCGGGCGTAGCATCGACTGATCCCACACGCTCTCAGTACTGGCTCGTTGTGGGGGTCCCATGCACCCAGGGCTCCCGTGACCAGGGCATGGATCTGGACCTCATACCCCTGACCTACACTTGATATTAGCTATTAGAGCCGAGATGGGGTTTTCTACCTCACCATGACGAACTCCCAGACACACAACGAACACCATAATTAGGTAACTCCCCGAAATGACTCCAGTGGAAGAATTCAAAGCAAGAACCCTTAACACACAATTCTGTTCAAAGACAGACAAGTCTTGCAGCCGCCTTCCTCTCGCTGGTTTCCCTGTACGCTCCTAATTTGCACAAACCCACGCACTGACCCGTGACTAGCAATCTCTCACTGTTAAACTCTTACAGCAAAACAGGGCAAAAAAGTCTATGCAAGCATTGTACTGCAGCCCCAATGCTCTTTTCTGCTCCTTCCCACAAACTTTCTCAAACATACAGTCAATCACACAGTGACTAATATCCACCATGTTGCATGTATGTCCCAAGGCCCCAATCTGGCAAAAAAACATCTATTTTAGAGTTTTACTTATCATTTCTTTTAATCTCCCTAAATTTTGTTTCCATATTGTAATAGAGGGATTATATCTGACAAGCCACAGTACAGAAATACAGTCTGTTGCTGCAAGCCAACATATTGTCTTTCTTGGTGATTACAAAGAACCAGTGGAGAGCTCCCTAAATCACAATGAAGCAAGCTTTTTTAAAAAGAAAGCATCCAGGCCCAAATCTCATTGGCCTTACCCAATCCCTTGAGTCCAACTTCATTGAAAAGTAGGGGCAAGCGGTGAAAGATGAGATTTGGGCTCTGCAGGCCACTACTGTTTTATTATTCAACATGCTTGGAGGCCTGTAGTCAAAGAGTTATTTTTTGTGGGGAGTGAAGAAAACCCAGGGAGGGAGTCCCCCCTGGGGACAGCTATTCCCTTGAGTTCCTTCCTCAGCCTCCTGACCTGCTTACGCTCCCCTCATACCTTCCCTCTTGCCCCGCCCACTCCGCTCAGGCCTGAGCCGCCGGCCACACCCACAGCCTCCCCAACCCACAAAGGGAACTACACTTCCCGGCAGGCGCCAGTGCTTCCGGGATGCGTGGCCTGTTCCATTACCCCGGGGTGGGGGTTAGGGCTAACTTTCTCCCACCAGTGTGCTGCCTTCATAAGGTCCAACGGACTGTACCATGGTTCGCACACCCCCTGTGCTCCCTTCCCTTCTCCCGCGCCGCGGCCGGCGGGAGAAGTGGCGGTTGGTGCGGAGCCGCCTCGGGGGCCGCGCTGGTCGGTGTAGCTGTGTAGGAGGGAAGCGCCTCCCGCCGCGTGAGGATGCAGAGCTCGGACCTGGGCAACAGGGAGCAGGGCAAGCTCTGGCACCGCAAGCCCGCCCCGGCCGCGCAGCAGGGGTAACGGGGGAGGAGTCGGAGGGAGGGGGAGGCGGGACGAGGAGACCGAGGGGGTAGATGTTGATAAGCTGTTCAGGATGAAGGCCGCTGCAAGAGCGCAGCCAGGGGGCTGGGGCGGGGAAGCCCCTGCGCAGGTCTCCGAGCTGTGGGCTGGCCTAGGAATAGCCCATCATGAAGGAAACAAACATCAAGAGGGGGAGGGATAGCTCAGGGGTTTGAGCGTTGGCCTGCTAAACCCAGGGTTGTGAGTTCAATCCTTGAGGGGCCATTTAGGGATCTGGGGAAAAATGTGTCTGGGGATTGGTCCTGCTTTGAGCAGGGGGTTGGACTAAATGGCCTCCTGAGGTCCCTTCCAACCCTGATCTTCTAGGAGTCAATCAAAAGATTTCTCCCCAGGCCAGAAGTCTGTAATACTTTTATTACGGATCTTATGCTGGCACTTAGTGGCCTTGCTCATGGATCCGGTTGTGTTAGGTGCTGTACAAACAGAACGAAGCCAGGCTTGGCCCCAAGGAGTTTCTAGTTTAAGCATAAGACCAAAGACATCAGACGGATCCCGACAGATGGGAGAGTAGGGCGAAACAATGAGGCAGTATGGGTCAGCATGATAGGTCTTGGTCTCAGCACACCCCTTGTCCTAACTGAGTATTTTGTAGGCTTCATGGCCAAGAAGAGTTATAAAGCGGGATTTGAAAGTAGATAATGAGCTAGCCTTGCAGATGTTTACAAGAACACCACCTCCTGCCTTGTGGGGCAGCATGGGAGAAAGTACAGAAGTGCTTGTCTGAAAATGTGACGTACACAGTGGAAGCTGGCGCTTTGGGCTGATCAGAGGTGAGCCTCAACAGCTCAATAGTGCTTGAGAGGTGTTGGTGAGGGTGGAGATTGAAAACAAGCATCTTATGTTTGATGCCATAGAGAAGAAGGAGCCAGTGGAAGGACTCAAAGAGAGGGGTGACATGGTCAAAGTGATGGGCTAGGAAAATAATCTTAGCAGTAGCATTCTGAGTGGATGTGAGTGGGACAAGATTGTATTTGTCAGGGCTAGAGAGAAGGATGTTGCGGTAATCAAGTTGCGAGATGAGAGCCTGGACCAGAGTTTTAACTGTGTTGATGGATAGGAAAGGCCATATTTTAGAAATGTTATGCAGAAAGAGAGAGTTCTCAGTTGAAGATGACGCACAGGTTACGGTCCTGAGTGACCCGCGGGATGATGGTATTGTCCATAGTGATCAAGAAAGGAGATAGTGGAGAGAGTTTGGGGGTGGAAAGTTAGGAGCTCTGTTTCAGACATGTTCAGCTTAAGCTGGTAGTTGGACATCAGCAAGGAGACATCAGAGGGACAGTAGCATTCGCTTATAATTTCCAAGCAAACATATTTTCAAAACTGCAACCTACAAGGATGCTTGTTACAAACCAAAGCAATATCTCATACAAATAATAAATAACAATATCCAACATATCTGCCTAATTATGGTCTCTTCTCTGTGGTCTTGTTACTGCAGCCCTTATCCTCACTCCTTCCTATTCCTCTCCTGCTAGCTCCTATCCCATTGTGCAACGTTATCTCTTATTGTGCTGTATGTAAACTTAGGATGAGGTCCCGCAAATTCTTTTAGGTGGGCAGCACTGCATCGGTGCAGAGCCATTTCCAAGATCTAGCCCCTAGTCTGTAATCTCTTTTGGCAGAAGAGTGTCATGCACAGTACTGTATAAATAATACATGTCTTCCACAATTAGAGATTTCTCAAAATCAAGTACTACATTAGGATACTATTTGTTTATCCCTCATGCACACCACACCGTGCCTTGAGCAGTTAGGAGTTTGAACAACATAAGACATTCTATGATCTTGCAGACTGTGGAGTTGAGATTATGAAGAAAAGCACAAGACTGTGAAATGGGAATGATTAGGGGAAAAAAAAAAGTAGACCCATTGGCAGGCTTAGTAAGAAAAGACCCTGAATCCTCAAGATCGGGGCTGCTTAAGGCTGCGGCCTGGAGAGAAATCCCCTCCTATGGGCCCTCTGATCTGCCACCGAGGAGAGACAGGGCCTGTGTGATTATATCCCCACAGGATATCTCTCAAACAGGGATTCGCCTTCAACAGGATGACACAGGCCTGGTGTTTAAAAATGACAAACTTCCTGAAGAAAATTAAACAGTTCTAGTAGTATTGCAGTAAATTCATGTGCAAATTATTTTGAGGCATCATCAGTGTGAATAGCAAAAATATGCATAATCTCATTTTTTAAAATTGCATTAGACAAAATTGCTTAGAGAGTTCCCAAGAAAGTTTATTAGAAATATAGGCATGTGATGGTAGAGAACAAGTGCAAAAGATGAACAGATATAACTAGCATGTATATTGTATTCAAAAGTTGAGAAACTTTTTGTATAATAGGTATAGAGGTTCGGATTGCGACTCCATAAATTGAGTTTATTATCATTTTGCTTTTTGTTCCACTTAGAATGTAGCTGGGTTACTTTATTTTCAGAAAAGAGTTTGGATGGGGAGGTGAGTTAAAGACTTAGTCTGCAATATTTACAGAAGATTAACACAACCAGTCCTGTGAAAAGTTAGCTTTTAATTTTTGGTGTTGGGGTAATTTTCCCATTGTACTTTTTTAATGGTACTCCTGATATTCTCCCATGATGAAAATATTACCAGTTACCATTATAATAAGAAACCTAAAATAAATAAGCTTAAAGTCCATCTGGACTCATTCTTATTGACCCTCACTTCTTTTCTAAAAATAATAGAAAAAGGGTAAACTTAGCAGGCAGGTTACAGTAACGCCAGCTCTTACCGCCTCCTGCCCGCTGGCCCATTTCTTTTGCCCTCTTCAAGGCCTTATCTGGAGAAGAGAGGGGCCTGGGCCTCTCCTTTCCCCTTCTATTGATTCCACTGCAAACTGTGGGTATAATCACACAGACTCTGTCTCCCCTTCCCACTTGGTGGTCGATCAGAGGGCCCCTCTAAAGGGATTTCCCTCCAGGCAGTTGCCCCTGGTTCTTGAAGGGAGGGTCAGACCCATGTGCTCTTCACTCTCCTACCCCAATCTTTTGGTGCTAGCTGCTGCTTTTTAACTGCCAGTATCTCCTTGGCTGCTGCTACTGCTCCCATCCCCTGCTCATGTACAAACCCAAAGGATAGATATCTGTGAAAGACAAAAATGATAGAGAGCCAGTTTGGTCTCATAATATCTTAAGTTATTAGTGTGACATGACAGAGATTGGCCTGACGCTAACTTTTAAGAATATAGATAAAAGCTGTCTTCAGTGATTTCCCTTCCCCCCCATAGCATATAATTCCTGACTCCACCTAATCTAAATGAATTTTTCTCATGAATCATAGCTCCTTTTCAGTTTTTCATTAGATTTCTTTACAGAAGGTCTAATTCGCTTGTCAGACAGCGAATAATCTCTTGTGTAATATACTTTTAAAAACATTTACAAGTGTATGTTCTTCCTCAAAAGTCAATTCTATCAGAATTGCAAAAACATAACCTAAGAATGTTTTTATATTGGATATATTTTAATGATTGTAGAGAAAAGTATGCTAACAATGGTGTAATAAACCAAGTGATTTGTTTGCTTTCCTCATAGAGTCATAGTAAACGTTATTCACAGTGCCACAGGATATCATTCAAAGACAATACGTTTTCTGAATGTGGCCTTTGACAGTTCTGGAGATTCTTTACTTGCTGGAGACCACCAAGGGAATATCTATGTTTTTGACTTGACTGGAAACAGGTAAACATTTCTCTTGCTGTGTGGCTCTCAGTTACTAATTTTGATAACCTATATTGTTGTCTTAGGTTTCTTGATATACATAAGTCAGTTTTTTGCAACACTCCTCCCACTTAAGACACTTGTTTCTGTTTGTTAAACGGGGTTTGTTTTGACTGGGACGCGTTGGGAGGGGAAGATTGCATGAAATTTTCTTTCACAAGGTAAAGTATGTTCAAACTGATTAGCATATTTAGTTCATTGGACACTGTGTTGAAGTGTTTCTGACTATTGGACTGTGGTTGGTTTTTCTTTTGTTTTTTAAATAGATTCAGTCTTGTTCAGCGAACGATGCAGGCTTGCACTGCTTTGGCGTTTAATCTTCGCAGGAAGACTGAATATCTTGTGGCTTTGGCAGATTATTCCATTAAATGCTTTGATACAGGTAAGACACTTTAAAAATCTGACTAGAAAAATAAGAATAGTTTGATTTTCATAGCAAATCCATATCACAATTAATCTAGCATAATAATTAGTTATTTCTGATCTGACTAGTAGTTAAATGGCTAACAATATTGGCAATTCATTGTTCAGAAGTTAATCTTCAGAGATAATGTTACTTTCCCCCCATTTAAGAAGTGCATTCTTACTGCTACTGTTTCAGACAATCTGGATTTAGACTCTTTTAATTAAGTAGTGAAAACCAACCAGATATCATTCTGGATTTTGGTATTCTTCCACCAGTATAATTGCTGAGGATTGTAACCAACTGTAGAACTAAATAGCTACTAATAAGATTATAAAGAAGTATATTCCTCGAAAATCTAGCTTACAAAATGGTGAAATAGAAGTAGGCATTCATCTTGCCAGAGCTCTGAAGTCCTTCCCTCTCTTTTTTCCTTTCAATATGTATGCACACACAACTAAGACCAAATTAAGTCTTTGGATGCATTTACACAAATCTTATTGACTGGTCCAAAGACTGCTGGCTGTTCACATGGTGCTGACTCTTTTTTTTCCAGTGTGATTTGGCAGTACAAAACAAGTTTTCAAATAGCTTAAATGCTTTGCTATGTGAGTAATTGATGTAGTTGCCACAAATATATTATCCAGTTGCCAGTGGGAGGAAAGGTGATAATGCAATCATGAATGGGAGAGAAGGTGGTCTGAGACAATAACTCTAAAAGGTGGTCAACAGTATGAAAATATGTTAAACTCCCATGCCTAAAAAATTAATCAGGATGTTGCATCAGATATAGAGGTTCCTATGGTCGTAGCCAGTTGTTCATTAAACCAACCTTCCTTGTATGTATAAATAGTAACTCACTCATTTCACCCACAAGTTAAAACAAGTGTTTGAACCTTCAAACTTTGTTGTTTTTTGGAGGGAGGGGGTGTGGTTGAACATTGACGTTCCCACTGGCAAAGGCTGCCTAGGAGGCATATCCAGCTTGTTTGTTGGGCTCCGTTCTCAACTTTTAAGACTGATCACTGAAGACAGATTAAACAAGTCTATGCAAGATAGCTGTAGAAGAATAACTTATGAAATCCATTACTTCCCACTGATCAGCAGAATGTTTTTTCCCATAGTGTGTAGGAATTACATAAAGGACAACTCACTTGTTCCTCATTTGTTCGATAGTGATGATAAATAAAGATACATTAGGCATTCTCAAGAGACCACACCCTTCAGATTGTTTGTACTGAAAAATACTAGGACTTGTTGTTTCACTTTGCATAACTTTTTAATCAATTTCATTTACACCATAGACACCAAGGAGCTAGTTAGTTGGATGAGGGGACATGATTCTTCAGTATCTTCAATCTCCGTCCATGGTTCAGGCAGATACGCCATTACTACATCCACTGATACAGCACAATTCTGGGATCTCGATACCTTCCAAAGAAAAAGAAAGTTGAACGTCCGCCAATCTGTGGGTATTCAAAAGGTCAGTAAAGAGTCATTAAACAAAGGGTATATAAACATACCTGAGAATACAACTACATACTAAAATCAGGAGTACTTAAAAATATTCTTTTAAAAAAATAGATCAATCTTTTCTTTGTCCTCTAACCATCTCACCTTTGCCATCAGATCTCACAAGATAAGGTTATGGGACAGTAGTTGTGGAGATCTGCAGGGAACACCTAATCACTGCATAAAGTAGTAATGTTTCATCAGTATTGAAGCAATGTCAGAGCACAGTGCTCGAGGGCACTGTGCTGCAGGAGATTATTTTGAAAGACTGTGCCTTAAGACGGAGGTCCTCACCACTTGCGGCCATTGAAAACCCATGACGCTTTTTCTAAAGTGTAGGGCTGTTAACTCTGGTTTCTTTACTGGATTCTAGCTAGGGCTGTTACATTCTGGAAGTCACCCTGTAGCTTCAATTAGAGATACATCTTTCACTTCCTGTCCTAAAACTGTTGTGTAGTGAGCACTGTTTAAATAGTTGTCATGTTTATCCCAGAGGTGCCTGCACTTCATTAGGGGATGAATTTGATATATCCCTTGTCAATCAGCAAGTGATTGTAGTGTATTCCACATTTAGCATATGTGAGTGGGTAAAGTTTTCTGCCAATAGCTTTTGGAATTTGGTAGAATCCATGAGTTTCCTTGTTGAAATAAACCATTAAACCAACAAAATAAAAAATTATGTAAACTTTGAATGAAAATTTACCATGTTGAGTGCAGATATATAATAAAATAATGTAACAATGCAATACAAAGATAATTTGGGCTGAGCCGAAAGCCCTTGAAGTCAAGGAATGTTTTCCTGTTGATTTCAGTAGGACTTGAATCAGACTTAGTATAAGGAAATTCTCTGAAGAATGGGTCTTAGGTCTCTTGTGGGTTATGCTGTCCCTTCAGTAGAATTATTTCTCTGTATTTGATTATCAGTTATTGTTGTATTACAAATTATCAACCATGTAGTATTAGGTATATACAAATTTTGAGAATGCTAAATGAAGCTTCTATTTTAAAATACCAGCTCAGCTGAAGTTCAGGAATTTGTCTTTGTCATTGTAGTCTGTGTATGTATTGTGGAAACTTCAGATAACTATTATTTTTACTCACACTCATATTACAATGGCCACTATGTATTACAGAAATTAACATGAATTGTTTAATTGAAATAGCACAGATGAGACCCACCTCACCATCTGCCATTCCTTTCCATGAATGAGATAATTGCCTTCAGTCTGAGGTCCAAATTAAGGAAAAGCCAGGGTGATTAATGTTGCACTGCATCCTAAACATAAGGTAAACTTGGACTTCAGCTGGCTAAACTAGTCACTGATAAAACAAACACTATGTGTGCTGAGAGGATTTTACTAAAATCCCAAACTAGTGCCTCTCCTTTCTAAAGGTGATACTTTACATTAGGGGTTGTATGAATTTATCTTCTCATCAGGAAGCTGCGTGATTCAGTGAATAGGGCACTGAATTGGGAGTCAGGAGAGCTTGGTTCTGTTCTTGGCTCTGCCGTTCATTTGCTGTGTGTCCTTAGACAAATCACTTAACCTATCTGAGTCTCAGTTTCCCATCTTTAAAGTAGGGATAATTATGTTTACCCACATTTAGTGCGTTAATAGGTATGGCTAAGAAGTGCTGATATTATTATTAGAGTATGACTGGGGACACTGACTGTAAAGTTACATTCTGATTTACTTCCTGACCCATCTTGATGGTTTTGCACCAGTCCCAGCAGTGCACAGCTGGGATCCTAGTAAGATCTATATCACCTATGCTCAAAAAGTGCAGGAGCAAAAGCTAATGAATGAGACAAAAAGCACCTCATGATGTTAGTAGGTGAAGAGAGGCAGTTTTAGTTCGGAGAGGAAGAAAAGAGATGAAAAGGGGACATTTTGTTCTGTCCCTTCTCCCAGAGTGCCAAACTGCCATTTCAGCATTATTTTGTGGCCCTTTTTAAAACACTTTTTAGAGTAAAACAAAACCAGGAAACAAACAGAACACCCCAATTCGTTAAAATAAAAGAACAGCAACTTTCAACTTGCTTTAGGCCAGAAACTACTGCTGGAAGGCTAGTCATAGTCATAGGATTTTTAAAGGATTTTCATAGTAGTAGGATTTTAAAAATTGTAAATTTCGTGATTTCAGATATTTAAATCTGAAATATCATGTTGTTGTAACTGGGGGTCCTGACCCAAAAGTGGGATTTGTGTGGGGGGGAGAGGGTCGCAAGATTATTGTAGGGGGGTTGCGGTTTTACCACCCTACTTCTGCGCTACTGCTGGTGACGATGCTGCCTTCAGAGCTGAGTGACCAGAGAGCTGCGGCTGCTGGCCAGGAGCCCAACTCTGACGGCAGTGTTGCCGCCAGCACCAGCGCAGAAGTAAGGATGGCATGGTATGATATTGCCACCTTTACTTCTGTGCTGCTGCCTTCAGAGCTGGGCCCTGGGCCAGCAGCCACCACTCTCCAGACACCCAGCTCTGAAGGCACTGCAGAAGTAAGGGTGGCAATACTGTAACCCCCCTACAATAACCTTACGACCCCCACCTCTGCGGCCCTCTTTTGAGTCAGGACCCCAGTTTGAGAAACGCTGGTCTCCCCCATGAAATCTATCTAGTATAGGATAAAAGTACACAAAAGACCAGATTTCACAGGGGAGACCAGATTTCACAGTCCGTGATGCGATTTTCATGACCGTGAGTTTGGTAGGGCCCTACTTACTGCTATATTATTCTGACATTTTTGAAGTTCAAATGTAATATTTCTTTTTTTATAGTATATAAGGCAACTAGCCTGAAAATTATTCTATTTTTTTTTCCTTTTTCGTATTAATTCTTTCAGGTTTTCTTTCTTCCACTAAGCAACACCATCCTCAGCTGTTTCAAAGATAATTCTATCTTTGCATGGGAATGTGATACTCTTCAATGTAAATACCAGTTGCCAACTCCAATAGAAGGCTCTATGTTGCATTATAAAGTCTTTGCCGTTACCAGGTAAATTGCTACTTAAATGCTCAGAAAGAAAATATTAAAAAATTCTTAGCAGATAACACAGATTTTTCTCTCCTTTTTCTAAAATGTTTTGCACAAGCGTTGAGCTGTAGTTTTTCACCTCTAAACTAGATACCAAAGTTATTTTTAACAGAAGTCAAAATGTTAGTGTGAGATTTTTCCCCCCTTCAAAAAAGTATTTAGGTTTTCCTACAGAAAAGAAAAGCAGACTAATCACTCTCTCCAACAATCTCTGTGCAGGGCTGCACAGTCCAATAAAGGTGAGGCATTAACAGAAAACACTTTTGGTACCAGTTCTAAGTGTATTCAGTACAAAGAAGAAAAATGAACTCAGAAGTGCATGAGTCAATCATGTCCGCTTCAGGCCATCTCAATTTGCATGCCAGCAAAGAAAAGATATTGCAGCCAAAATTACTTATGAAGATAAGCAATTACAGCAATATTGCCATTGCTGAGAATAGTGAGGTAGCTGGAGCAGTGATCCAAACTTACTATTATTAATAGGAAGTCTTTTATAAAACATTTTAGAAAGGTGCACAACAGTAGTATTCCATTGATAACACTTGTTTGGTTTTAGTTTGTACTAAATGAGTTAATGTTTCCCCATCCTTATCCAGCAACTTACTTAAGCTATTTTATAAACCCATAAAGGATATCACTCTCTGCCACTTGATCATGTTATTTCGTCTGAATAATCAAAGATTTTTAACTGAAGATGAATCAAAGCCCACAACTTTGGAATCTCAACTTCCCCAAAGTTCTGTAGTGATCAGTAGTAGCATTTTGAACCCATCTATAGATTGCACCATTCCTTGCTGAGAACAGCAGCACCACTTTGTACTGCAAACCCATGACCACTGGGAAAAAAAGATCTCTTTAATTTACACTGAAAATGAAGTTTATAAATATCCACTACAAAACCTGCTTTTTATTTCATTTGAGAGCTGTTTCAACATTATATGCTTGCAACACAATACAACAGAAATTATGATCTTCAGCAGTGGTGATTTGTGAGCATGGAAGATAATATGTGGCCCTACAATTGTAACTAGCAATAGATTAGATTGGTCTGATATAAACTTAGTCCTGTTTCTGATGCAGAGATGGCCGGGTGCTAGTAACAGGAGGAAAATCAAATCATCTTCACTTGTGGTGTCTGGAGTCAAAACAGCTGTTAAGAATAATCCAGATGCCTACAAAAGTACGAGCTGTTCGCCATCTGGAATTCCTTCCTGATAGTTTTGATGGTGGTTCTAATCAGGTCAGTTGTATAGGAAGTTTAAGAACAAAATCACGTGGTTTCTTAACTGAAATCACATACTTTCTGAGATTTGCTTTTCTTATTCAATCTATACTATATGCAGGAAAGTTACTACATTAAATATTTGCTCTGTTGCTGCTTCAATTTTTTTTATTACAGAATTTTGATTTCATTCTTTTCTTTTCTGTTTTGCAATAGGACTAATTTATAGAAGTCTCCTTTATTTCTAGGTTCTTGGAGTGCTAAGTCAAGATAATATTATGAGATTTATCAATATACAGACGTGCAAACATCTGTTTGACATTGGGAATCATGAGGAGGGAATCAGCACAGCAGCTATTAGCCCAAATGGACGGTACATTGCATCAGTAATGCAAAATGGTAGCCTCAACATATACAGTGTCCAGGCTTTAACGCAGGAAGTAAATAAGGTAGAGTTATAAGTAAAGTAAATCACAAAAACAGCATTAAGATACCAATAAAAGTCAGTCTCACCCACCCAAAAATTCAGTACTGAAAATACAATTTGTCCTTGTGTCATTGACTCTCATACGTTGTAGCTATGTAATATAGGATGCAAGATAAACAACATAGGGATTATAGACCTCATTTTGTGGTTACTCCAGTCTGTTAGGCAAATTTTGTTTTAAAAATATTTAATCATGTTCTATCTTCCAGTTTTTCTGTTCTTCTCACAGCAATTTAGTCTGTGCACACCTTTTTATCAGCTTGGCTTTGATCATACAGTTTTTTGTCCATTTCCTTCTTGGAAGTACTGTACCATGCAACAGATATTGCTTTATCTGCAGACACAAATGAGCTTTGTAATGCTGTGTTTGTCAAGAAGTATTCCCAGTTTATTCATCAGGTCTTGGAAGCCATGATTATAAAACAATCATATAGCTAGTCCCTTATGTAAATAATACATATTATAAAGACAAGGTTTTTATTTTACTATGAAAATAACTTCTGTAGGGAGACATGGGGGGGGGAGACGGGGAGACACTTTTCTAAATCCAGAATTCTATATATCATAAATCATCACACTCTAAAAGTAAGCATATAAGGTTTACTGTGTAATAAGGAGTTGAGCACAGGCCTTCAAGTCAGGTGACCTGATTTCCATTCCCAACTTAAATGCTGAGTTTGTGTAGGACTTTTGGGCAATTTACTTAACTGCTTTGTTACTCATTTTTCCTCATATTTAACATGGAAATATTACACATTCTACTCGGGTCTTGTGAGAATTAGCTAATGTTTGTATAGCACTCTGAAGTGCAAAGTTGTATAGTAACATTCAAGTTCACACTGAAGTATTTTATTTTAAACACAGAAAAATACTTGTATGTTAGTCAAACCACATACTAGTGTGCATCCCTGTACATCTAATTCAGAAGATACATTGTTTCTGGTTGAGTCAGCATTTGAAAATCACGATTAAGATAGAACCTACATAAATTTGCTTGTAACATACCTCGTTAAGTGTGTTTAACTTTCATTCACTTATCACATCTTTTTGGATTTTGGTTTTGGTTTACACTGTGTGTCTCATCAAGTCATGTTTTATAACACAAACATCTTTCAACATGTATAATCTAAAGTGTGCTCATTATAAAGGTGGGTATTGTAAAATGTTCTTTCTTACAGTGTCGTAAGATGTTAATTGTATCATTCTTATTTGATGCTAGCCACCACCACCCTTGGTTAAAATAGTTGAAGATTTGTCAAAAGGCAAGTTGGGAGCAAGTAAACTTACAATGAGAGTAACATCAGGAAGGTCAGAGAGGCCTTGGAAATCGAGAGGAAGTAAAACTCAAACCAGAGTGCTAAAACCACAAGTGAACACTTCACTTGAAAATAAAGAGGTGAGAGCAAATTGTAAATACTGTAAATGTTTCTCTTCTCTATCTGTAGCATTTGATTTTCATTGCCAAAACAACTCTCCATTGACTATTTCCCCAACAATTTACTTTTCTACATCCAAATGTTTGCTAAATCTTTAATCTGGCCAATGTACTGTTTGCACCTTTTACCTTCCTTACATATCTTTGCTGTAGAGCTTTGTTATTCTAATTTGTTAACTTTACTTCTAAACTGTTTCCCAAGGCTTTCACTTGGTTTATGGTTATCTATATATTTCATGATTGTTACTTTCTGATACCACTGTTTATTTTCTTCATCCAATTACCTTGCTAATTCTCCTTAATTCTTATCTTAAATGACATGTATCCTCCTTACAATAATAGTACAGCAAAAGGCATTCATTGCTGATTTTTTTATTTATATGTGAGCTTAAAACTTATGGTTATATCCAGACTTTACTGGTAAATTAATCATATATATTTTTAGTCATTTAGGGCAGTGGCTCTCAATCTTTCCAGACTACTGGATCCCTTTCAGGAGTCTGATTTGTCTTGCGTACCCCCAAGTTTCACCTCACTTGAAAATTACTTGCTTACAAAATCAGACATAAAAATTAAAAAGTGTCACAGCACACTATTACTGACAAATTGCTTACATTGTCATTTTTACCACATAATTATAAAATAAATAAATTGGAATATAAATATTGGATTTACATTTTAGTATATAGAGCAATATACACAAGTCATTGTCTATATGAAATTTTAGTTTGAACTGACTTTGCTAGTGCTTTTTGTGTAGCCTGTTGTAAAACTAGGCAAATACCTACATGAGTTGACGTACCCCCCTGAAAGACCTCTGTGGACCCCCCAGGGGTAGACGTATCCCTGGTTGAGAACCACTGATTTAGGGTCTGATCCAACTCCCATTGAAATCGGTGGGAGTCTTTCCATTGAGTTCTCTAGGTATTGAATCAAGCATTTAATTTATATTTTGCTGCAAAATGCCTATAATACTGTGGCAGGTACTACTATAAATAAAATTATTGCTATAGTAGGTGTTACTAGTGGCTGATATACTTAAGATTGAATTCCGATTTCCATTAGGGAACTGGATTAGATGATCTCTCAAAGTCCCTTCCAGTCCTATGGTTATAGCCTCTCTTTCATTTGCTTATAATTTTCTCAAAACATGATTTTGTGCTAAAATTTTCAGTGCTTTTTCTCAACCCAAAGTGATATTTTTTAAAGTCTTAGCAGAGTAGGTTCTATCATTTTAAAAATGAACTGGATTATAAGTACTTCCCCATATGGTCTGACTAGAAATTTTACACTTAGATATACAAACCGTTGAAGCTAGAAACCTATATTTGGTTTGAGGCTTATGGAAACTTAAATAAAAAAAAAAGGTCAAGATTAACGGAAATTGATTCAGTATTTTTTAAAGTAATCAATGCTTTCAAGTAATAGTACTTCACATTTCCTGGCACCTTTGATCTGAAGATCTCAAACCACTTAAACAAGTAAGCTTCAGAGCCTCCCTGTTTCCCTGGGATAGGTGACTGTTCACCAGATGGGTTTACTGACATACAAAGAGGTCAAACTTATATAGGGAGGATCCATTTTCATTAGGTATGTTGTGATTTTTTTGTTTATATTAACTTTATCGTAGGGCAGTTACTCAACAAATCTAAATAAATACATTACTTGCCAAAAGCCACATGGTGAATCAGTGGCAGAGCTGGGATTAGAAGTGAGGGTCCTGACACCCAGTCCTGGGTTCTGACCACTATAAATACACATTTAAAAAACAAAACCACATGATCCCTACAACCATGTCCACTAATTCAATGAATCAGAAATAGAGATTATAGGGACAAAAATACTATTTCAAATTACTGTTTGTTTCCTATTTTGTAGAACGAGTTGCCAGATGGATTAAACAAGAAACGTCTACAAGCCTTACTGAAAGGATTTGGAGAATATCCAGCAAAATACAGGTGGGTGTGAGTGTGCACATGCATGCAAATTTAAAATCTCTTTTGCTGTACTGATTTAACAAAGGGAATTTTCTTTGCTAAATCTACGTTTTACTTGCAGGATGTTTGTTTGGCGTGCCTTACTACAACTTCCTGAAAATCACTTAGCATTTAGTAGCCTAATAGATAAAGGTATCCATTCTGCATTTGTGCACTTAAAGGACGAATACCCCATGAAAAGTAGGAAACTGTTGAGAGTCTTACAAAGGTAAATTTATGTGAACGTTCATTGATGTTAAACTATCTGACTGGGACCATCTCTGGGGAAGGTTGGTTTATTTTGCAAAAATTAAGCCCCGCATAAAGTAGTACCTTTTTATTACACCAAAGTTGTTCTTATTTAGCAGTTTTCTGGTTGGTATATTTTATGACTATAGATGCTTTCAGTTTATAAAATATTTTCTGTTACCTCTACAAGAGAGTTAATTGTCCCCTAATCTTCTGCGTAGTTGTTCATAGAATGCCACTATACTTCAGTGCTGTTTAAAATCATAAACTTCAGATGCCTTATCACATTTTTGTGCTGTGATAACCAAGCATGATTCTCTTCCTCTGTACAGATATTTTCTAAGTACTTGTTTGTCTTCGTATACAGGACCTTATCTGCTTTAGCTCACTGGTCTGCTATCTTTGGTGAGACACCATACATACCTCTGCTAGCATTCCCATTTGTAAAATTATTCCAGAACAACCAGCTGATCTGCTTTGAAGTTGTTGCTACTGTAATAGGTAAGCAAGGATTTTTACCACACACTTAACTTATTTAGTTTCCCCAAATTTGCCTTGCTTGAAATAAAGTGGTGTGCATGGATTCTCTTATAGGTCACTGAGGAGTTTATGTACTGTTTTAAAATGTATAAAAGGCATCCACCAGGAAGTGTGATAAAATATAGCTGTTGCAAAAAAAATAAATCATAGCTAACAAACACAATTTAACTTCCTTATATTGACTTTTAACAAGCATCTTTATCAATTTATCTTATCAGTATCTTTTAAGTCTAATCAGTAAAAGAACACTTGTCCAATACAATTTTGTTGTCGTGTTAATCTTTTAAATTCTGGCTTGAGACCGGGCGTGACAGTAGTCAAAAGAAATACCTCTGTCTCAGTTTAAAATATTTATTGTACTAAGCTGGAGTTATCACTTGATTAGGACAACTAGCATTTAGTAGCTTGGCTTCTGAAGAAAAATAGTAAATGTAAAGTATCTTGCACTGAAATTAGTCATTGCAGCTGCTGCAAAGTGCACACATAGCATAGAGTTACCTTGCATAAAAACCCATTTTGCAAAATACATAGTTTGGTTGCAAAATAAGTATCCAGATTTGGTCCTAACAGGTTAAAAATATGTTGATGCTCAGTGACCCAGCCATTAGAGCCCATTACAATGGGATTAAAAAGTGCATCTTTGAATTAAGAATATAAGAATGACCATACTGGGTCAGACCAATGGTCCATCTACCCCAGTATCCTTTATTCTGATAGTGGCTAGTGCCAGATGCTGCAGAAGGAATGAACAGAACATGCAATTTTGAGTGATCCATCCCCTGTCATCTAGTCTCAACTTGTAGCAGTTGGAGCTTTAGGGACACCTGGGCATGAGGTTGCATCCCTGACCATCTTGGCTAATAGCTATTGATTGACCTGTCCTCCATGAACTCATCTAATTCTTTTTGGAACCATGTTATACTTTTGGCCTTCACAACATTCCATGACAGCGAGTTCTATAGGTTGACCATGCGTTGTGTGAAGAAGTAAATATATACATTTAATAACAGACATATGTGTAATAGAGATATTAACAGATATTATAAAACTAAACCTCTGTTTAGTGGGTCTGCAGATTATAGAACATTGAATTTGTAAGTACTGTAATGTAAGTATCTGAGTCAAAGTGGAAGGAACATCATTTGAAAAGTAAGATGATTTCAGTAGAGTGCCATCCCTCAGTGTCAGAGGGATTAAGCTACAAGTGGTTTGTTTTATTCCTTTTGTAGTTAATTGGTGTCAACACTGGTTTGAGTATTTTCCTAATCCTCCAGTCAATGTCCTTAGTATGGTGGAAAATATCTTGGCACATCATGACAAGGAATTGCTTCAACATTTAATAAACTGCAATGTGACTTCACAGGTAAAACTCCAACCTAGCTTCCTAGTTCATATATAACTGTTCATAAATGGCAGTGTTCAAATGCCTCATTTTAGTTTAAACCTTTATTTGCTCATTAAATGAATTCAGAGTAAAATGTGTATTTATAGGAGTATAAAGAACATATGATCATTTGCCTGCAGCTTATCCTGTTGCATTACATGTGTCTCCTTATACATGTTTTAATAGGACTTAAAGTTGCCCTTTCTTGCAATCATATAGATTCAGAAATCTATCAGGGAAAATTATAAATCAATTTTTATATCATTTTATCTTGGTTTTTAAAATACACACAACTGTGGTGACTGAATTCAGTAAACAGATACAGTAACATAAAACCAAATATTCAATTAAGCTAAAATATACAGTTAATTTATATATTACTAATTATTTAGTTACTAAGGCCTTGTCTACACTACGAGAGTAGTTCGATTTTACTTGCATCGAATTTTTGTAATCGATATTGCAAAGTCGAACGTGTGTGTCCACACTAAGGACAGTAATTCGACTTTGTGCGTCCAC